TTTTTTTCTTTCTTAAAGGAAGGATTCCCATTTTTTTTATATGAAGCAAACTGTTTATTTTCAAAGAAGGATAAGGGAGGAGGGGGAAGGACAGAGAGAAGAGAAGGAAAAGGAGGAGGAAAGAGGAGGAAGGAGGAGGAGTTTGGATGAGGAGGTCATTAGGTTCCTCATCTTCTTGAATTATTTTTCTTGGGGCGGGAGGGAGGCTCCAGCATTAAGCATTCTGCATCTCACACGATGGTTTTACACATTTTTTTTAAGTGTTTATTTTTATACTTGGATAAGTACTCTTACCACAGGGGTGTCAAACTCGCAGCACACAGGGCACATGTGTCACGTGCTGGTCATGCCCACCCCCACTTTAGCAAAGAGGGAAAAGTGATACCTCACATGACAACGTGTCATCGCGCGTTTGACATGGTTACAGGTTAAAAAGGTAAAGGTTCCTCTCGCACATATGTGCTAGTCATTCCCAACTCTGGAGGTGGTGCTCATTTCCGTTTCAAAGCTGAAGAGCCACCGCTGACCGAAGATGTCTCCGTGGTCATGTGGCCAGCATGACTAAATGCTGAAGGTGCACAAAACGCTGTTACCTTCCCACCAAAGGTGGTCCCTATTTTTCTACTTGCATTTTTACGTGCTTTCGAACTGCTAGGTTGGCAGAAGCTGGGGCAAGTAATGGGAGTACACTCCGTTACACGGTGCTAGGGATTTGAACTGCCGACCTTTCTGATCAACAAGCTCAGCGTCTTAGCCACTGAGTCACCGTGTCCCTGGTTATAGTTTACCAGGTTACAAACTGGAATGCAGACATTAAAATCTAACATAAATACATGAAAAAAGAGAATTTTGGGGAGCTCTAAACTTGTGCATATGCGACAGTTCAATAAATTTCAATTGTAGAAATTTTAGCCCTTCTTTCTGAACTGGATGAGTCCATTATGCAAATTGCCACTGCACTGACCATCAGTACTTTATCAAAAACGCTCACTAGATATTATGAAAAGCAGGAATTATCTATCCATGTTTAAGGGCAATGTATGTTAACCTGTGCATTGCCTTTTACCTTCACAAAGCAACTCTCTGTAGTAAGATTATCATCTACCTGAAAATTTCTCCATGCAATTAAGAATCATGATTTTCTAAGGCCTCAATAACGAAGTGAACCTCTACAGATAGAAAACTGCAAATAGCCATCGCCACCTATAGAGGGTGATGTATATGGAGTAGGGTTATTGAACTCTGGGGTGTAGATGGATTGTTCTCTCTGTTTCATAAGGTCTAACAAAGGATCAACAGATAGTTACCATAATTCTTGTATTAGGTTGCCATGACTCTGTAAACAGTTTTCACAGTATCTTGTTTCAGAACTATGGTTCTTCTTGCATTTTGTTTTATATGCAAATTTTATTTTGCTTTTGATTGTTTGAAGCAACAGGGAAAATAGCATGTGCATATTTTGTCTGAGTTTCTGATTTTTAAAGGACTCTTAGTGTTACTTTTTTTTATTTAGATTGCATCCAAGACTGAGAAGGATGCGTATCAGGTGGGTTGCTGCCAGTTCAGTGCATGGAAAATATTTGCCTGTGTGCACTCACTTCGCTCGCACACATGCCAGACGTGCACTCTGTGCACATGCACATTTGCGTAAGAATAGGTCTGTACATGTGCAGAATGTTAAAAAAAGAAAAATAATAAATTTGTGCAATGCAAATTGTTCCGCGAATGTGCAGAACTGAAAATCAAGATGGCGCTGCCCTATGAGAACTGGTTCAGGGCGTGGCAGGCCTGGGTCGCTGCCAGTTCCAGCGACCCAGTCCGGCAAACCACTACCGGTTCTGCTGAATCCGTCTGAACCAGTAGGAACCCACCTCTGATGCGTATGTACTGCAGATGTCATCAGTGGGTTGTACAGAGAAATTTTCCAGTTTCTTGTTGCTTTTTCGTCCTAATAAGTATAATCTTTATTGTCATTGTACTTAAATACAATGAAATTGGCTTTTGTTTTTCTATTCTTCTCTGGAAAAAAACACGATTCTCTTCTGGTGCTATTAACTCCCAACATCTCCCCAAACCCTGAATCGATATTTATTTACAATTTATTTTATTTTGAGGCTTGAAAGGCTGAGGGCTGCGTTGGATAGAATTATTGTGTAAAGTGAGAGAGCCAACCAGATTTATTTTTGTTTCGTGACCTTGGTAGGGAGGTTTAGCTTGATTTTTTCTTGTTTTACATATCTTTTAAATATTACATTTTTCAGTACACCTTTTGTACCTTCCGCAGTCAAAATAGGAAATTTCACCACCCACTTTTGGCAACCGTATCGCTGAAAATCCATTGGATTGAGAGGTCTACAAAAAAAAAATGAGGGTTACTTGTTAGCTGTGAAGTCATGTCTGACCCATCGACAATGTTCCTCCAGGCCTTCCTGTCCTCTACCATCATCTGGAGTCCATTTAAGCTCACATCTACTGCTTCAGTGGCTCCATCCAGCCACCTCATTCTCTGTCGTCCCCTTCTTCTTTTGCCCTCAATCTTTCCCAGCATTAGCATCTTCTCCAGCGAGTTCTTCCTTCCCATTAAGTGAGCAAAGTACTTGAGTTTCATCTTCAGGATCTGGCCTTCCAAAGAGCAGTTAGGGTCTTCAAATTGGAAGCACCTCAACGAGGTGCTTCTGAGTTGAAAGGTTTACCTGGTGACATCACTGTTCCCCGAGAGATGCCTGGTTGAGGGGTCCTTTCACGTCCCTGTAAATTTTCCCACTGAAGTGGTACCTATCTTATCTACTCACAGATGCACACTTTCAAACCGCTAGGTTGGCAGGAGCTAGAGCAGGTGATGGGAGCTCATCCCGTCAGGCAGTAGAACTCGGGTCTTGAACACAGGCTTGTTAATTTTTAGTCCAGCGGTCTAACCATATGAGCCACCATGTTCCACTTGAGGAGCTGAAGAATGCCTGCTATTGTCCTACAATGGAATAAATTGAAAATGTAGATTCTATCCATGGTTATATTAATCTATTTGGAAATCTGACATAGGTCATAGTTTGGAAAGGATATTTTTAACAGTATTCTAAATTCTGAGTTTGGATTATGCAGTCTGCGCTCAAGGAATTCTACAGCCTAGATAACCAAAGACTCAAAAATACGTTTCCTCCCCCCAAGATTCATGGGAAAGTTGCTGAACAGGGTGGCTTAGAGTAGGAGAAAAAATAGTATTATTCTTATATTATTAAGAGTGGTGGTTCAGTGGATAGAATGCGGGCTAACTCACTGCTCACTCCAGGAGATCGATTCTGAGTGACTCAAGACTCAGCTTTCTACCCTTCCGAGGTCAGTAAAATGAGGAACCAGATTTTGGGGAAAATATGGTGACTCTGTAAATTGCTTAGAGAGGGACTACAAAGCAGTATATAAATATAAGTGCTATTGCTATTTCTCAATAGTTTTGAGTAATGTCACTTAATGGTGACAGCAGGACTAAAAACAGCTGAAATAAATACAGATTTTTTCCCTTTGTGCCATATTGTGATTCTTCAGCCCTTTATACTTTTTATATAATAATTCAGTTGTTGAAAAGTACATTAAAAATATAGTCTGAAAACATAAGTAACATAACTGAATATTCCTATTAATTTTAAAAAAATCAATTGCCCAACCAAATGCAAATTAAAAATGACTGGAAACAGAACTTGGTGTACTGCATAAAATGTCTGATATGGAAGGGCTTTTTTTCTTTTTCTTTTTTTAAAGTAGAACGGCAATTGAGTTTGGATACAGAGAATGGATAATCAATATCCACAAGCTAAAGTAGTTTCCTCCACTAATGGCATATGATTTTTTTCCCTTTCTAGGCAAAGGTATTTGGAGCATGAGACACTTAGAAAAAAATAATTAATTTGAAATCTGTGGTGGAAGATCAGTTTCAATTAAAACTACATTTCAGCTTTCATGGGCAAGGAGCTAGTTAGCTCTAAACGCCATGGTGGTATGCACTGAATAAAAAGATTCCTTTACAAATTGCTACCTTGTTTACAGATTTCATAGAATATTAAATTAACCTAGCTAATAAATACTTGCTCCTTCACAAATGTGTTAGGTATAAACTAATGCCTCCCCATATAGTTTGAAGTTGTACTATAATTTTGCCATTACTCATTTTCACTTGGAAGATATTTGGCATTGTATTCTGAATATTATGCACAATAGTTGTATACTGTAAAACAGGGTGGGAGAATTGTCCTAGCAGTAAAAGAAAAGAAGAGGTGCATTCTTTACAAATACTATAATGATTGAGCCCAAGAATGCAATTCAGATCAAAGTCGCCGTTTCATAATTCAGATTGGTCTACTTGTTGGGTGAATCATTGCTACAAATATTATAGTTCATAAAAAAGCTATACAGGCCAATTGTACAGATTCATTTTGGTGTAGTGCAGGGGTGTTAAATTCGATTTCATCAGGATTGTGTTTGACCTCAGGGGGACTGGAGTGGGCGTGGCCACCTCCATATCACTCGTGTCGAGGCAGTTGTGGTGGCCAGGAGCTAAGACTACCTTCAGAGCCTCACACATTGTCATTATAACCTTCCTTCCTTTTCTTCTTTTTCCTTCCCTCTTCTTTCTCCTTTCTTTGGTGGGCCCGTGGGACAGATTTAAGCAACCCACGGGCCTTGAGTTTGATACTCCTGGTCTAGTGGTTAAGGCACCAGAGTAGAAACCAGGAGGCCATGAGTTCTAGTCCCACCTTAGCAATGAAAACCAGCTGGAGGATCTTGGGCCAGTCACTTTCTCTCAGCCCAACTCCCTTCATGGGGAAACTGGGGAAAACAGGAAGAAGGAGTAGTATTAGATATGTTGGCCACCTTGAATTGTTTGTAAAATAATAATAATAATAATAATAATAATAATAATAATAATAATAATAATAATAATGATGATGATGATGGCAGGATATAAATAGAATAATAATAAATGAATGATTTTCATCTCTTTGGAACAGGGGCATATGGACCCGAGCATTGGGTTACTTCAAATGCGGATTGTGGGAGAACTCACCAGTCTCCAATTGACATCATAGATCATCAGGCACATGTTGGAGCGGAATATCAGGAAATACGCCTGGTTGGCTTCGATAATGAATCTTCTAACAAGACTTGGATGAAAAATACTGGGAAAACTGGTAAGGATTGCTTTGTTTGACTGTTCATTTGCTGGGCTTGCTTGCTTTTCCCTTTGTCATTAATTCTAGCCTGCTTCTGGCAGCCGCTGACACAATGAAAAATGTACAAGGAAAGTTTGGAAGGTGGTGGTAACCCTGGGCCATCACCCCACTGCTATACACTACACTCATGCATTGGGTGTTCAAATTCTGTAGATAGCACTGAAATTCCTTCCATAGATGAGTTTCCCTATGTGGTGAATGCTTAAATGAGTTTTATGCAGATCATGTTTTAGAGAAGTTCAACAGCCATCTGCACTAAGTAAGTTCAACAGCCACCTGCTCTTTTACGCCTGTTATTTCTTCTATTGTACTTGAAAGTATACAGGTGGTCCTCAACTTATAACAGTTCATTTACTGACCGTTCAGATTTACAACAGCACTGAAAAAATGACTCAAAACCATTTAAAGGGTTTATGACCATTTCAGCATCTCCATGATCATCTGATCAAAATTCAGACACTTGGCAATTGACTCATATTTAAGACAGCCACAGTGTCCTGGGATCATGTGATCCCTTTTTGCGACCTTCTGACAAGCAAAGTCAATGGGAAAGCTGGATTCACTCAATAACCCTTTTACTAACTTAGCAACGGCATTGGTTCACTTAACAACTGTGGCAAGAAAGGCCATAAAAATTCACTTTACAAACGTCTCACTTAACAACATACATTTTGGGCTCAATTGCGTTCATTAAGTTGAGGACTACCTGTATTTAATCCTATGGCTTGTCAAAGTGGCTGGATGGTTGCTTGCTATTGCCATCTAGAGGCTAAAACAAAAGGAAAACAAATTCTGCTAGAGCAGAGTTTCTTACACTTTTGGATTGTGGGACCCGTTCCTATTTTAAAAAAACTATGAAGGATCCCAAAACAGATTTTCTTTGTACAGACTATATTTAGTTATCCTATTAAAAATGAAATTTGATGCATTTGTAGAATATTTATTGATTGATTTATGTAATAATAACAATTTTGCACGCATTAGGTATAATTTTTTTACAGTTTTAAATTTTATTTACAAACATGTAAAATACATACACACAAAACTTAGACATATGTATTGTGTAAATGTGGTGTAATGTCTAGCAAATCATTTTGATTTTGCAAATCTCTGAGTGGGAGAGGGGCTTGGGGAACCTGCAAGGGTATTCAGAACACATTTTAAAAAACACTGTGCTGGAGCAATACAAGAACCAATCTAAGGAAGGATACATTCCCTTCACAGTAGAAATTATTAAAGGCTCCAGAGGAATAAGGAGATCAGGGCCATCTTGTGTGACTTCTAGAGGGTCCGAAGGAGAGGAAGTCTGGAGGGAAATCCCATAAAACCACTTTTATCTGTGTGTGTGTGAGAGAGAGAGAGAGAGAGAGGTGAGCAGAGGGAGGGAGAGACAGAGAGAGAGAGAGAGAGATGCCAGCAGAGTCAAAGTAGGCATGTTCTGAATTTTTGACATGATGAGCCCAAAAGATTCACCATCCCTGGCCTACAATCTCTCAAGGTATATCTGCAAGGTTAGAACATTATAGTTTTAGTTTGGCAAGATTCTGTCTATTAGGTGAAAGCTAGTAAGCAGTTGGATTCAATTGGATCTCGTTGCTTCGTCTCCGGGCTTGAGCATAACATTAACCATTATTAACTGAGGACTGCTTGTACAAAGCCCAATTTCTGTGTTATTTTACTTGTTATTTATATGATTTATGTAGCTGCCCATCTCCCATGAGTGACTTTGTAGTTTACACAGATCAAAATAAACACACACAAACACCATTCCCCCCATATTGTAATAACGCTTTTATAAGCTTTTTAATATTGGTGTATTATCCAGGGGCAAATTGTGGAAATCTATATCCAAATATGTAAGGCAAGAAAAGGCTCTAATTATGTTAACAAGCTTATGCTGAAAAATAAATTATAATTCATTTTTTTACTCTGGGCCTGGAATTCTGGAAGGGAGCTGTTTATGAGAAGAATCCTTTAAAGATTAATAAAAATTCAAGAGAAACATAAACAACAACTTCCTGTTAATAAACCAGCATTTGTATTTGTCCATATGTCACATTTTTGTAAAGACTAAGTTTATATAGTAATTTATTTGTAGATGCTACTATTATTTACCTATAGCATACGTTTCACGTCAAAACATACTTGGCACACCAAAAATATTATTTGGAAAAGAGAAATATCAGTTAGGAAGCCCTCTGTCCCAGCTTTGTTTACTTTTCACAAATCTTAAGGTTATTTTTGTAGTGTTAAAATTAAAATAACAATAGAAGATGCATATTTTCATTGACAAATACAGAGGATACCCTGGTATCAATCCAAAACATGCTTTGGAACTTATGGAATGATCTCAAAAGTAAGTCCCATTGAATTTTATGAATGTTAACATTGATCTTAATTTTAATATCAGGTAGGTTGAATAGTATATAAGTTTCACTGAAGTGAGTCAGTTGTTTTTTTTTTGGAGATGGCAGGTTTTTATGATTGCAATATAAACTTTTAGTACTGAAACACATCTTTCAGAAATTACATAAGTTGTAAATCATGTATTTAAAAGGTAAGGATATGTAGAGCAGGTCATTAAATTTACCTTTTATTTTATTCCACTACAGTGAGTAGTGTTAAATGCAATAAAGAAGTAAGCTCAAAGGAACTGATGTGTTGTGGGTTTCTATAAAAGTTAAGAATGCTAGACCTCATATATTCAAAAATAATGTAATGTAGTGCAAGTTGAATTATAATTGTATTAAATAAAAATAGGAATTGATGTCATGAGTTCAGATAATAGTTGGATTGTTATCATTCTAATGCATATTTTCCATCAATTGTTCGTGTGTGTGTGTGTGTATGTATGTGTGTGTATGTATGTATGTGTGTGTGTGTGTGTGTGTGTGTGTATATATATATATA